AAATAAACATTCATAGGATTCTGACAATATGCAAAATGTGCACACTCGGAATCAAATTTACAGATTCGCCACCTAACAGCACGACAGCAATGCAAATGAAACTACTTTTGGAATTTAATCGAACAATTTCTTGGGGTAAGTTCAAATGACTGTTCCTCTGTTAGAAAAATTAGACCCTTCGTCGAAACTCAGAAGCATCTAAGTTCAGCAAAAATTTAATTTTCATCCTTTTTGTCAGACCGTGTCGTATAATCGTCAACGAATTGGACGCGTCTGAGTACTAGAGATTTGTATTTGCTTAACTTAGATCACATTTCTTTAAAACTTAGTGTAAAAAGGTACTCGTGGAAGAGAATTTAAAAAATCTAAGAGAATATATTCTCACTTGATCCTCTTTTTTGTATGCACCACTTACATTTGTGCTTCTGCTAACTGAAATAATTCATTTTTTGTAATTGAGGCTGGAACTATAGGTTTAGAAGGCTTAACTAGTTAGGCATTTGGGTTTTCCACTTTATCAGTGAATTCCGGTCCCCGGTGTGACAGTCAGGGAATTTCTCAGTTATACTCATTTTGAAGCAAGTATTTTTTGGCCGAACCAAGTTTGCTGAAACACAAATGATCTCCAAAAATTACCATAACCTAATGTAATGGAGCAACTACTTGATTTGGTACAGTCATTTCCAACAACCACACACCACTCCCAGAGCATGCTTTAATGAATTTAACAAATCTCCCAAATATTTTGCAATTTTATGCGATCAATTTGCATGGTGATTATTATAGAAAATGCTTGATAGATTGGTGTTATACAATTTCACCAAAAACGCGTACTTATCAGGCAATAGTAAAATCTTTTTTAATCATTTAAAGCAATTGCTGAAGTGAGTTGAGCTGCAAAATTAGCTCTTTTATAACAAAATACAGATTAAGTGGATTATATGTTTTACCATCAAAATAGCGCAAAACCAAATCATGCGAATGCGTTTTTATTTTAATTATCAAACCGATAAGTAGCCTCTCCGTATGCTAGACTTCAGTTGCAAGTGCAACTTTAGAAAATATCGAGCGGGTTGTATGTCCTAGATTTCGTATTTAGCGCGCTTCAGAAAACTGATTTCATTGTGTTAAATAAGGCATAGTTGAACAGGTATTTAATACTAAATATGCAATCGTTCTCAAATATTGACTACTGAACATAATCTGTCTTGTAGTAATACCAAATGCTAAATGGATTTACCTAAGCCTATGAACTGAAATATTTAAACAAGACTTCATGATGCTCGATGGAAAGAATTCTAAAGGCCGTTTCGCTTCCTATTTGTCTGAAATATTTTTACCCCAACTGTAGACTTTTGTTTATAATAGTCGATGGTAAATACAAGTTTTATTTTAAAACCAATACGCTTTGTATTTGACTGGAGGCTTAGTCAGTGAGTAAAATTTTGGACGAATAAAAATTAATATTTTATTAATTACATCTGCGCACTCAGCTGCACGGAACATATTTCAGGTTTTGGTGTACTGTTGCGATAAGAGGACAAAGGTATTGTTGTTAACTGTCACTGAGTATCAATGAATACAAGAAATGTTTAACTCTGGCCAAAATCCTAGGTACTTCAGTCGTGGTCAATAATTAGCAATCAGGAGTCGTTCGAGCACAATCCCTTCAAGAGTACTGATGCTAAAAGTGGGATTCGTTGATATTCATTCCTAAGGCATTGCTAAACATGATCACTCAAAGCTGATAGTACCAAGTACAAGTTTAACAAAATGTAGTGAAAGACGATGAGTTCCCGTTTCGCTTCATGTTTGGATGCTAGGTAATTGATAAGGGAGAAATTGAAAGGGGACGCTGATAGGCTATTTCCTAAAATGGCAGTAAATGTGTGTGAAGATATTTTTAGCCACTCGACAGCGCGCAGTGACAAATACAAAAGTAAAGTGCTGTTCAATTAAACGAGTAAATCTTAGAATGTGTGAGTGGTCATTTATTTTAATGGTCAAACAATTAATGAGTACTAACTATTGACTTATACTAGTGATGAGGATGTGTGCCCCCCTTAAGACTTCGCGAAATTGGTATTTTTTAATGGTTTGTGCCCATGTACAACTTCTTGGCCCTCCTACTAACCGTCTCCATTTTATTGGCTTACTCCTATTTAAATGTGTCATTAATCTTAATTACGATCAATGTCGTCGAGTGCATATGTAGGCGAGCGTGAGTGGATCTGTTTCTCAGCCTTCAGTTGCGGCTGTAAACTCTCTTTCCCAATGGCTTCGTCTATTTCTTTGCATTTGGAATAGTTGGGACTTACATCATTCAGAGAATTTGTTGCACCCGTCTTTTTGTTGGTTTGTATTTTGTTTACCGGTGCCCATAAAACTAATACCACATTATGGCCAAACTGTCCTAACAGAACTAAGCTTTACAAATAACGAATGCATTCATCCTAGTACATGTAAATATTCAGACTTTTCTGAATAATGCCAAGATCAACCACTTCAGACTCAACCAGTTACACGTTAGAGAAGTTTTAATTTAAATATACAAATGATTAATCTAGAAATCAGTTTCCAAAACCAATGATTACGACCGTTTTAAAAGTAAGGGGGCTCCCTGACAGTTCACTGAACTCAAAGGGCAAGTTGTTGAAATACTTTGCTGTCTTCGGCGAAGCCGTTTCAAGCTTTCCGATATAAACTGTTCACAAACCGAGGAATTCTACTTAGCGGTTGTTATTGTTTTATTTTTCTAATGATCGATACTAATAATCACCCTACAAAAATCACCCTGTCGTTAACGCGGACATGCAATTATGAAAGTCACTTACAAGATGAAGATATCCTCATTTAATCACCCGGGCAGATGACCTTGGTCCAAATTTAGGACAGCTTCATAATGGCTAACTGCTAGATCATTTCTACACAATGACTCATCGCAGGCCCATTCAACAAAAACAGTTCGCAGCCACAAAACCGACCTCGTTGTTGCAAATTGTCATGTTCAGGCATTTTCTGTTTTTTTAATTACAATTTCTTCCATAGTAACTTGTGTTCGAACCTGCAGTAGAAGGTAGATATATAAACCTACAATAACGTCGACACGAAAGCAACGAATCATGCAAATTCATTCATGCGTTATAAGTTTCTACAAATCCGGAAGTACTAACAAGGTTATACGACAAAACATACTCATTTTGATTAACGATAGCTTAAGCCCTCAGTTAAGTTTTGATTTACAAAAAGGATTATAAATGTAAGTTGGCCAAAATTGGTGAAATACGATGATGCAATAAACCACTTTCGAGTAGAAACCTCAAGTTTGTGATTGATGAAATACATGTTGGAGATGTTCTCTCAAATTACTTATGGCTCGCGCTTACAATTGGAATGAACTCTTTCCTTGGTTAAATGAGCACTTTTGTTTTATCGTGATTTTTACTACTAATCGGGAGGACAAGCACCCACAATATGAACTAATATATTCTGTAAAAATTTTGCTGCTGTAAATGATCCACCATGCAAAATAATGCTGCTTAAGCGACATGTTAGACATTAGAAACCATATTAAATACTGGATGAGTGAACCATGTTAAAAGGATAGTGCCATCAGGTAAGCAGCGATAATCTGGACTAACACAGACTATCAAAGCCATTATGTCAAAAATAATTGTGTGCGATCTCCTGTGATAAGAGATCTGAATATCACCAGGACCATGGTTGGTCACGTTTTTTCTAGAAACCTTCACCTTTTAACGGCTTGGTAGCGACTTCATTAGCAACACATTAAACCCTGCTAGTCGACAGTCCGTAACAGCCCGAGTAGAAAGGCATAAATCAGTGGCTTCCTTCCAGTAGGTGACGAAAGTGCTTCAAAGAAAGATAAATCACCAATAGTTCGCTGGAAAAGGTACTGTAACTAGTTTTAGCTGGTTGAAGCTTCCGATAAGAGAATGATAACGGCTCAGTACGACCGTCCAGGTCTTGTTGAAGAACTGCGCCGACCGCATTTTGGGAAGCATCTGTTCGTCAGACAAGTTTCGATTCCTTCTTCCAGTAGTACAAGTTTATAACATCTGCTATCGCATCCTTTATAGCCTAAAAAGCAGCTTCAGCCTCCTGAATAAACAGTAGCTTCTTGGGATTACCCTGAAAGACGTCAGAGGAGAAAAAAATTCAGCGGCATGTGGGATGAACCGCACATAGTAACTAACGAAACTACGAAAACGAAGTAAGCTACGGGGAGGTTCTGGTATTGGATACTCCCGAATCGCTGTTGTTTTCTTAGCCAAGGGTCTAATACCATCTGCGTCAATTTGGTGGTCGTGAAATTCAACAATGTCTACTCTTAGCACGCATTCCTAGGGGTTAGTAATGATGGCGAAAGCTTTAAGACAGGTAAAAACCTGCCATAAATTCAGCAAATATCATTGTCTTCGCTGGCGATGAGAATGTCATCAAGGTAGACAAAGACGAAGTCGAGATCACGAAGAACTTGATCCACGAGTCTCTGAAATGTCCTTACTGCGTTGCGTAGACCGAAATGCATTCGTAGGAACTCAAATAGGCCAAATGGAGTAATAACGGCATTTTTCGGGACGTCTTCGGGGACCACAAGAATCTGATAATAAGACCGGACAAGCTCAAGTCTTAAAAAGACTTTAGCACTGGTTAAACACAATGAAAAATCGTGGATATGAGGGATGGGGTACCGATCAGGGGCTGTGACATTATTTAGGGATCTGTAGGCACCGCAGGGTATCCAGTCTCCAGATTTTTTAGGTACTATGTGTAAAGGGGGCGTCCATGGGCTGTTAGAGGGGCGGATTATTCCGAGACGGTCTTAGGCCTAGATCTAAGGCGAGTAACTTTTGCCCATACGTTGAAATAGTCGAATTGTTCGCAGCTTGTAGTTGAAGACCAGAGGTTTTGAAGTGGCGTTTGTCAGGTCCTGGATGAAATTACGCTAACCTCGGCACCGGTGTCAATCAAAAATTTTAAACCGCTGTGTTAATCGGGACGTAAAATTGGCGACTAGATTGAGTGTTTAAACCGGTCGTTGCCATTATTGGCGGGCCTTCTTGTTTCCCGAAGGTAAATTGGTCGGCTTGAAGGCCTTGGATGACTACATGGGTATTTACAGGCTTGTGTCTTGTCACCGTACCACCGATGGTTCCAACGTAGGCCAACTCGTTCTCCAGATTGGCTGGATCGGCGAAAACGTGATGAAGAACGTTTTTAACGTTGCGGATGCCGGTATAAGCCGCTTGGGTTACTTCTAGCAAGTTCATTGAATTTTAATGACAGTTTGTCCAGTCGTTCATCCAATTTATTGATGCCCAAATTGTAAGTGTTAGCTGTGGTGCCAGAGGAGACAGTCTCATGACCCGGTCCCTCAGAATAACACTCGTGGACTTTATCGGCTATCTCAGCGAGTTTCTCCAGCAGTGTGTCAGAAGTCTGGATTGAAATTATACCATTGGTGCTCATTCGAAGACATTTAGCCCATAACTGGCGCAGAACAGAGTCATCGACCTTGTTACTTCCGGCAAGGTGGTGCATGTGCTGAAGAAGTTGCTTGAGAATATGGAAGGAACATCAGTGTCTTCCGTAAAAGCAGCTTTGAGACGGCCTGAAGTAGGGGGCGGATCAGGCCAATCACATCCCATCGTGATGTCTAATATGTCGTAACCTCACGTAGAACAACTGGTTTCGAAATAAGGGAAAAAAGGAAGGAACATGATCTCAGGGGTCTCGGTGAAGATAATGTTAACAAAAGTGAGAATGCTGCGCACAACGTTATTTAAAGAGACCTGCTTTAAATGGACTTCGTAGTTGACTCCAGGCGCAAGACGGCTGGCATCTTAGATACTAATAACCAGTCCCTCGGCGATCAGCTTTATTTAAATTTTACCACCCAAGTCTTTGATAGCACAGAGCGTAAGTGCATCTCGAACGTCAGCAGTAACGATAACATTCCATCAACTCGCGAATAAGCTTCACTCACGCTCGATTAATGAAAGATCACTTCAGACTCAATACTTAAGTGTCACGTAAGTCCCATTATTTTTACGCTAACACAGAGAACTAATATTTCCTTAAATCGCAGACCAATGGTCGAATTCTGTGAAAAATTCTGGTTGATTAATATTATAGACAAAGAGGTGTCATTCAATGTAGATTGCTCTAAAACCAGTTTTTGATAAATAATTTATTATTTCAATTCAGCAGGACCGAAGAACTGTCAGGTGTTACAAGTTTGATCCCTTAAACTATTTCATTCACGCCACACAGCACCGCGCATCATCTGCCAGGTTGATAAAAGTAGTTGGAAGGCGAATGCACAAGAGATGGCCAGCAGGCAGAGCGTCGTGACATCCTGCGATGGCGTCAGCAAAACCATTTTTAGCTACTCGGCATAAATTTCTGCACACACAAAGCACTCACAGACTATCATCCGATTCGTGATTTGTAGAAATATGTCAAATGATGCTATTTTTCCCAAATTTTATACGATTACCGAAATCAATCAAATTATTTTTTCGCTGCCAAATCCTCAAAACCTTTTTAACATTCCTTCCGTCACTCCCTGAATAGGTCTGATAATCTGTAGCACCTTTTTCATTCAAACTGGTTATGTCGCGAAACCATGCTTATTTTGGATATGAATTCAAAAATTACAGGTGTAAATATTGTTATTATGGCTGGCCTGCTGTGGAAAAGCTAGAAATTTTACAAGAAGGTTGAGAATCTGACTTTGACTACGATAGGTTTCCGCATTCAGCTGCATATGACTCAATTATAAACTCCACAAAATGTGTCCTTATCAAGACTCCATGACAGGTCATCCTCTTGACTGAGGGTTTACTATTTTAGGATTTGGGGTTTGACTGCTACAGTAAACGCGCTTTTACATTTCAGCCTTTATATAAAATTAGAAAGGTATAAAACAATTCCGAGTGAAGCGTATTTGAATTATCTACCCTCATTTTAAGTTCATTAAACGTCATATTTAGCCTATTAGGCACTGCTTAGCTTTTCCACCATGCTGTTGCCCTTGTCTTCCTAAAAATAACCAAAATTAAAGTGAATATTTTTAAATAAATCTGACGCTTTTACTAATGAAATCATTATTATCAGAGGACTTGAATGTCAGAATATCTTGTCAGACGTGGCAGCAAACTCTCCCAACTAATGAGAACATTACTGTAGGAAAGGTAATAATTAGTAAGGTGCTCTTTTGAAACATTCGCCTACTTGGATTGCTGTGAGGACCTTATGGAAATACAGCTCACGAACCAGTGCGAAGATTTTGGGACTCCAAAGCCGTAATATTTTACCAAAAGTTGACTTTTAGCACCCATAAGAAATTTTGCCTTAAGCATTCCAGGTTTTTGGGCTTGTTCGAAAATCCTACCTCGGAATTTCATTATATGTACATTTTTTCCAGGTTCTTTAGAGAACCCTTTAGCACATAACCAAATGGACAGCAACTCTTCTGGCATTACCTGGAAATTTTGAATTTTATGTTAATGTGTATCTAAAAAGCACCCGGATGTTTTGCACATTTTAATTTTTCGCCAACTTTTGCTGTATTCTTTAAAGATCATATAATTAAACAAAACAGTCTGGATGCATGTAGTCCAGTGCCGCATCAGTCTTAAAAGCTATCTCTAACTGTCTCTTGAATAGTGGAATAGTTATTAATTATCCGGCTTACTGTAAAAAATTTGTTTTGAAAGTAACCTATATTGAATCTTTCGTCCTCGTATAGATGGTTCCAAAAACCCACGCATATTTCTAACCCACAGTTTATGTTGGGCCCTTTAAAGTGAGTAGCAAATGGAGGACGTACCTCGGATGTTTAGATGTAAGGTAAATTTAGCATGCTTTTGACCATGAGTCACCTTGTCTGTTTGGGAATGAAGGGCATCAACGTGGACTCCTCTACCCAGACTTTGGCAACGGCATTTTTAATACCTGACTCTGTTTATCGATTAGAAATAATTTTGCCTATCGAGCAAGCAAATCAAAGCCATCGATGTAAAATTCTTATATTTCGTTTGTGAAAAGCTGTTTTTGTCTGGACAACAGGATGTATCCGGCATTCTTTGAGCTAAGCCTACACTTAAACTGGCGAACCTGATACGATCAAAATTTACCCAACAATCTGGGCAGTGTAGAATCAATATTCACGAGGTGACAACCATTGTATTTCAATCACAAATCTTGCTAGAGTAAGTTTGCATCAGCAACGACAGTCGCTCTTACACAAGGCTACTATCTGCAATAATATATGCAATTTAAGGCTAAATTCTTTGTACAGTCTCATAAATAACTGGTGGTAACAACTTTTGTAATGTAGCCTTTCGAGGTTTCTGGATCCACGCACTTTAAAGAGAACAAATCCTCATTATCTGAGAAAGTTGGTTCAGAATACCTTAGAATGGGTTACTATTTTTTATATGAAGAATCTCTGAGCAGTTAGGGAACCAGTGGTTACAACTTACATTAAAAAATGAAACGTTTAATTACATGGGCACATGGTTCAACGAGAAGGAACAAACACACAGAAAACTTGATTTTACTTTGGGAAGCAATGCGCTTACCTCTTTTACCACCGTGCCGCTAGAATCGCCATGTTTCGATTGGCCGGCAGGAACAGCAGGCAGGCTTGGATTGATTACCTCACTCCTTTTCCTTTTTCCGCACGTCACGCACTGTGTAAGGCAAGTGCCATTGGTTAAGGGCAGCTGGCCAAAATGCAATGACGCAATTACGGGTGTGTTCCAATGCAAGTAATTTCAACAGACTTATTCATAACCTAGTAGTTTTTTTGTAAATTATTGCTTATGTCAGCTTTGAGTTCGTCGTTCTTAGTGGTGTGAGAGAAGATAAAATATATCCACGACACTACCTTTAACTATTGAAAATGCATACTTTGGACAAATAGGTTCACAGCAAATTATAATTATGAAAATTCTTTACCTGAAGTAGATACAGTGGTAGTTGGGAGGTCCACAAATGAATAATAGAGGCTCCGCGGATTCTTTCACTTATTTTTACCTCGAGTATCATGCAGTTTACAATCGCAAATGCTGATGTTTCATATTAAAACTTCCGATCTTTTTAAACATTGTCCTATCGTAGAAAAACCCGATCGCAAAGATATTATTTGCCCATGTATACCTACTGAGCTCTGTGGTGTAGCGCTAAGAGATCTAATGGTCTCTTCAATCTCGTGATACAACCTTGTTCTAAAATGTAGTTTTGGGGATAGCCACTTCATCACTGATTGTTTGCGTAGGCCATCAATCACCAAGTGACAAATACAGTAACATATTCCAACCAATTATCAACTCATAAAAGATTAAGGCACCTTATTTATCAACCGCAAGATAGTGGAATAAATATTGAAAACTTAGGCATAACCATCGAATTTGGCTTAATATTCGGGAGACTCCTTGATGATCAGCAAGTAACAAACCGCCTATGTCAGCATGGTCGTATATTCGTCTCTCCATCTTTTTTTTAATCGTTTTCTATTGACTGTAAAACTAAAAGAATTTAATTTATCTTCATTCCAATTACACTCAAATTTTGTATGCAGATTTAGTGATTTTCGCGTTTTTTAGTTTTGCAGGATATAGCTGCCTTTGGACAAATTTCCTGCTGCAAATCCGATTTGTGAAATTTTCCATGATATTATTGGCTGCTCCGTCATTTTTTTTTCTAGTAAACCACCAGATGTCATTTGATTTTTTCACTCGATGATCGGTGCATGGCAGAGGCCTAACTCAGTATTTAACGCGTCAGAACATATCTTTTTGTGGCGTACATCATTTTACTTAATGTCTACTGCCATAGGATGGCACATGTACTTATTACGATATCTATTATAATTGAAATTGCTCTTCTTATTTTGACGTAACTTAAGTCGCTGTCATTATCTGCACGATGGAACCAAAGCTTGTAAGTAGGTCATTTTGCACTGTTGTGTCAAAAAGTATCAAAAAAACCACTCTTTCGTTTCTCATTGGTTGAAACAATCGCCTATTCGTATACAAATGTCTGATGATCGACATGGTGTAATGATTCAACGGTAGTAAACAGAAATTGCCTGATTATAAATAGTGAACTGAACTGCATTAATGGGAATGCAGGACAATGTAGCTGTTCTCAGATAGTTCCAGTGTAAAGAAAACATTGCATTTAGAATTTCGCTCCGTGAAAATGTACCGCTTATTGGTCGGTAAATAGGAAATTTGTTACGTTGTTAGATCAAGTTAATCAAATACTTTTTGAATTACCATGCTTTAAGTTAAGAACCTAAAGAACTATGCTGATTTTTACGAAGGGCCGATTAGTGCGAGTGTCTGCCAAACGCAAAAAGGCCTTTTACAAATCGCCAAGGGCCTGCGGCCTACTTCCGAATTGCTGTTAAGAAAGACTTAACCAGGAGTATTTATTGAATTCAATCCTGCTCAATGTATTTATTAACCCCAGGATCACGGTAGCAGCACATCCCATTGATAATTTCAGCAATATTGCTGTATCAATTT